GAATACCTGTATAGTTTTGTAATCGATCTATGAGTATGTCATGATCTATAGTGTCGAACGCAGCACTAAGATCAAGTAAAACTAGCAATGAGATACAGCCTTGGTCTGACGCAAGAAGCAAGTCATTTGTAATTTTAACAAGTGCAGTTTCTGTGCTATGGTGGGGCCTGAAACCTGACTGAAATTCTTAATAGAGATAATTTTTTTGCAGGAAGGAGCATAATTGAGCACACAACTTTTTCTAAAATTGTAGACATAAACGGAAGATTTGAAATGGGTCTGTAATTTGCCAGTTCACTAGGATCTAGTTGTGGTTTCTTAATAAGAGGCTTAATAACCGCCAGCTTGAATGGTTTTGGAACTTGACCTAGAGATAACGATGAGTTAATAATATTGAAGCAGTTCTTCTGCTACAGGTAACAACTCTTTCAGTAATTTAATGGGTACATGATCCAATAAACATGTTGTTGGTTTGGATGCAGTGATAAGTTTATGTAGATCTTCCTGTCCTATAATTGTAAAGCACTGCAGTTTTTCTTTGGGTGCAATGAATGAAGCTGAATTACAAGACTCTGTCGATTCTACATTTGTATTTCTGATACTATCTATGTTATCAGTGTAGAAATTCATCAAGTCATTACTACTGAACTGTGAGGGAATATTTAGTTCGGGTGACGTCTGATTATATTAATCTAGCCACTGTGCTAAATAAAAACCTTGGATTGTTTTGGTTATTTTCTATGAGTTTGCGGATACGCTCGGCCCTGGCAGCTTTTAGAGCCTGTCTATTGTTGTACGTACTGTTTTTCCATGCAATTCTAAAAACTTCCAAGTTAGTTTTTCTCCATTTGCGTTCAAGTTTACGAGTTTCTTTCTTGAGAGAATTGGTTTTACTGTTGTACCATGGCGCAGTACGTTAAACAGCCAGTGGTGGACGAAGTACACAAAATCATTCTAATTCGTGAATGAATCGTTTGGTGCGATTTGCGAACCGATTTTAAAAGGTTAATTGAAAAGAATCAGTTCGTTCTTGAATCAGACACCGCTTCTGCGTGTCGGAGCACGTGATATATTATAAGGAGTAACGATATGTTTTATGAAATGTAGTGAAGTAAAAAGTACGATCTTATGCTTTGGAATTTAGTGAAGTAAAAGTAAAAGTTACTCAAAATAAAACTACTCCAGTAAAGTACAGATACTTGAAAAATTTACTTAAGTACAGTAACGAAGTAAAACTACTCCGTTACTGTCCACCACTGTAAACAGCCAGTGTACAGTTTCGTTTAGCAAAAGTAAAAACATAAACAAAAAAATACCACACACGACAGCAGTCCATGAAAGGAAACACCAATGGGGAAGGGGAGTGCATGCGCAAACAAACGCTCACACAAGCCATTACAGAAATAAGCATAGTATTAAAACTTGTACAAAACGAGGCCATGTTTGGCCATGGCCAAGCAGAAGGGTCTTACTCAAATGTTTGGCTTGACATACACGGAGCTGCAGTTTTTGTCTACCAGCAGGTGGATGGTGACAGTGTGATCTTTGTCCCCAATGGCTCCATACAACAGACACGCACAATCATCTTTCAGGTAGGGACTACTGAAGGTGGCTGCAGACTCTTGACTGTGCTTGTAATAGCAACCAAATTGTTTTCTGCGATTACTCTTCGAAGGGCTTCCTTCATCAGTCTCTGTGATCTTGAAGTCTTTGTTTACAACCGCAGAAATTCTCAAATGGGACGGTCTTGCATGGTTCTGGGCTTTCTTCCTCCCATGTCTCACTTGGGCCAGTGTACTGTACTCCCTTCTGAGGGGTAGTGTTTATTTTGTAGTTCGTAGCTGCCATAGCAAACCAAGTACATCAAGATGAAAGTAAAGTAAATATGATGCTTAGATGAAGGTGGTTTCCCAGTTATTCACATGTCTAAAAATGAAATAAAAATTTCAAACCTTAAGTCCATCTGTGTCCCTGTGCAGCGTGTCCCTTCATACACAAAGCCAAATCCTCCTCCACCCAGCTTGTGGACGCTTATTAAAATATAAGCAATTGTGGTTAATATGAAACATGTCTACCATGGTAGATGGATAGATAATTTATAATATATTTCTCATAGGTTTATTATTCTTACCCTTGTCCAGGCTTATTTCAAAAACTTATTTAATATATTGTATTTGCCATAGTGTTTATCATTTGCATCTTTGTGGCATATTTGTGGCATCAGTGTTTGCTAGCATCAGAATTCATCTGTCCTATGAATCCTTGCAACTACAAAATGTATATTTTGTTTGTTTTTAAATATTCAAATTGTTCTCCCTGTTGAGAAAACCAGCATATGCTGGTTAGGTATGTTTTAACGCTGGGATGCTGGTTTAAGCTGGTCCTTTGCTGGTTTATGCTGGTCATGTGCTGGCAAAGGACCAGCATAAACCAGCTTAAACCAGCAAAGGACCAGTTTAAACCAGCAAAGGACCAGCATAAACCAGCTTAAACCAGCAAAGGACCAGTTTAAACCAGCAAAGGACCAGCATAAACCAGCTTAAACCAGCAAAGGACCAGTTTAAACCAGCAAAGGACCAGCATAAACCAGCTTAAACCAGCAAAGGACCAGTTTAAACCAGCAAAGGACCAGCATAAACCAGCTTAAACCAGCAAAGGACCAGTTTAAACCAGCAAAGGACCAGCATAAACCAGCTTAAACCAGCAAAGGACCAGTTTAAACCAGCAAAGGACCAGCATAAACCAGCTTAAACCAGCAAAGGACCAGTTTAAACCAGCAAAGGACCAGCATAAACCAGCTTAAACCAGCAAAGGACCAGTTTAAACCAGCAAAGGACCAGCATAAACCAGCTTAAACCAGCAAAGGACCAGTTTAAACCAGCAAAGGACCAGCATAAACCAGCTTAAACCAGCAAAGGACCAGTTTAAACCAGCAAAGGACCAGCATAAACCAGCTTAAACCAGCAAAGGACCAGTTTAAACCAGCAAAGGACCAGCATAAACCAGCTTAAACCAGCAAAGGACCAGTTTAAACCAGCAAAGGACCAGCATAAACCAGCTTAAACCAGCAAAGGACCAGTTTAAACCAGCAAAGGACCAGCATAAACCAGCTTAAACCAGCAAAGGACCAGTTTAAACCAGCAAAGGACCAGCATAAACCAGCTTAAACCAGCAAAGGACCAGTTTAAACCAGCAAAGGACCAGCATAAACCAGCTTAAACCAGCAAAGGACCAGTTTAAACCAGCAAAGGACCAGCATAAACCAGCTTAAACCAGCAAAGGACCAGTTTAAACCAGCAAAGGACCAGCATAAACCAGCTTAAACCAGCAAAGGACCAGTTTAAACCAGCAAAGGACCAGCATAAACCAGCTTAAACCAGCAAAGGACCAGTTTAAACCAGCAAAGGACCAGCATAAACCAGCTTAAACCAGCAAAGGACCAGTTTAAACCAGCATAAACCAGCAAAGGACCATCTTAAACCAGCATCCCAGCGTCAAAACATTCCTAACCAGCATATGCTGTTTTTTTCAACAGGGATGTAATGTGCCTGTATAATTTGTCCAGACCACTGACTGCTAATTAATCATAAAAATGATTCATATAATTCCCATCTTAAATGCTTGTTGTCTAATATTTGTTTTTGTTGGCTCCCAGCAATTTAAAAACATTCAGAAGACTGCTTTCTGTTTTACTGCAAAAACAAAACAAAACATATAGCCTACACTAAGTCTTGTTAGAGCTTGAATGTACTCCGTTTACTCTCTTTTCTCAAAATGATACTACTGACATGTGATGTATTAGTGGTGTGTTTTTGTACTTGTATTTCTATGCACTTTCGTGATTTTAAGGTTGTGGGAAGGACTTTTATTTTGGCGTGGCGTTGTGACGGCATTTGTTTGTTCCGCACTGCGCTCCTGAGATTCGGCTGAAGAAAGGTTTGAGTTTTAAGCGTTTATAGTGTTTAAACTATCGTTTTTGTAAGCGACCTGTTTTTGAATGGAACATATTAATATCTTAATTGGCATTTCACGAACGTTATTTTGTGTGAGTAAAGCGCACTCGCGCGTGAATAACAGACAATGTTAGTCTTATTTCGCCCCTATATCGTGAATCAGTTTATAGTAAACACGAAATTAATGAGAGAAAAGATTCTTAAAGTGATTCACGTTCTGCTCAAAACTGTGAATGCAAGAAACACAAATGTGTGACAAACCAGCTGCTAACGTTTTAATGAGTGTATTATTGAATATAACTTAAATGGTAAATAGATAAATGTGAACTTTCTGTATAATCTGTGTTCTTTAATTAGTAGTGATAGTTGTGGTTTTCTTTATTTATTTTTCTATTATATTTATTTTTAATTTATGCACTGCAAAAAATGGCTTATCTTACTTAGTATTTTTGTCTTGTTGCTTACCCCACTGGCAGATAATTTTACTTGTTTTAAGCAAAATGCACTTGATTTAGTTTTTTCCCCTCTGTAAACAAGACTAAATATCTTAAGTAATTTGGTTTATCTAGTAAAAGTATCTTGATTTAAGAATTTTTAGATATTTTGACTAGAAACAAGACAAAAACACTAAGTAAGATAAGCCATTTTTTTGCCCAGTGCACTGCCTAGGGAGCTGATTAAGATGCACCTAGAGATTTAGTTGGGATTTATTTGTCTTTCTGTTAATTATTCTCATCTTAAACATGACAGAGTGTCTGAACACAGGGGACAAACTCCTGCTGAAGCAGCTGAGAGCCACGGGACTCACTATTATAAAGATGGCGTTTATTAAAGAGGAGCGTGAAGACGTGAAGATTGAAGAAGTCAAACATGAAGATACTGAGACACAAACAGGTTGGTTTTCATTCTCAAAGCTGAACTCAATCATTTTATCCTCATTAAGATGTCGACCGCTGCAGAAATGAAGAATGTTTTTGAAGAATGTCTTATGAGAGGTTTTATTTGACTTGGAACGGGTCACATACAAGTGTGCCGCACCAGTCCTCAAAAGTGAAGCCAAAGCAGTGTTGCCAGATTTGGAAATGTCCAAGTATCGTACCAGAAGCTGAAAATTATCGTATTTGGAAGAAAATTATCGTACACGAGTAAAAACGGACAGAATACAGCTATTTGTCTACTAGACTAAAACAACAACTTTTTGACACAACCTTCAAATCACCACAATAAATAAATAACTATGCTAGGGCCCTATGAAATACGTTTAATTTTTTCCCAAATTCTATTTTTTTTTATTTCAAATGTTAAATTTTTTGGATTCTGTTTTTTTTTTTCCATTTCAATTTTTTTGGACTCCTATTTAAATGGTTAAATTAAATTTTATTAATCAAAAGCATGTCTAATTAAATAATGAAACGTATACAATTCAACATCAAATCTATTAAAACGTTTAACAAAAATTACATGTTTAGGGTCTTATGAAATGTTCTATTTTTTTCACCTTGTTTATTGTTACCAAATTCTGTGTTTTAATACGTCTAATTATTTAAATGCATAAAAACTACTTTTATTTATAGCCTTATGAAATGTTTTTTTT